CGGTCACCTCCTTTTAAGCATGACATCAGCTCAAATACACAAAATTCTATCAGTTTCAAAGTAAGACAGGCTCAAAACACGTGTGTACCTTTCAACAAAACATGAAAGAATTGTGAAAAAGTATATAAAACAACATAATTCAGGGCTCTCGATTCTCTAAACCTGGGGCCGATATTCGGCCCGTTCCCAATGCAAAAAAGGTACCATTTTTCCCAAAAGAAAGGTGTGAGTTTCCCAATTTCCATAACAAAATATTTTTTAAACTTTAAGATTAAAAAATAAAAGTCCATGAAACTTAATCGCAAAAAACCCTAAACAAAACACACTTGCAAATGAAAGTGAAACTGTACGACTATTTTATTAGTTCGTGTCTAATGTATTCGTAAACTGGTTCGGGGAACTAGGTTACTATTTGTACAAAATGAGTGCCGAGTATCTTGTCATGTAGTTTCGACAAAAAACATCATTTTGGTTTCAAATATAGAAATTTCATATAAACATTAGTAAGCTGCACCTAGAAACAATCCCATTGCTTCAGCATGTTCAGTCTCGCGGTGAAATATGGTAAGCAAAGTTAAAAGTCCATGTGATCAAGGAAATTCGGGACTATGTGACTAGCAACTGTCACTCAGAAAGACAGATAACCGCAATATCAAGACTCAAAGATAGTTATGACAAAGCTAATGTACGTTCATAAATAGCCTATATATAGCCATGTTTGTTCTGTTTAACTGTTTATTCAAAACCAGAGTTAAATTGATGACAAATTTTATGCAAGAGAAGCAAAATTTGAGGATTTTTTAAAATGAATATTTGTTATCAAACTGTTCCCAAAATGATGGTAATTTTCCCAATTTGAACGGCCCCGGCCCCAGTCCCAAAAAGTGGTGTGAGAGCCCTGTTAATTATGGTTCATTTATTTACTGCTAAGGAAAGGAACTATAAAAAAAAACAACTTATATGAGGGGAAAAAATATCAGCTAAACCGCTCGATATTCAAGTGATAGTTTGTGTATTTGTGTGCTGACGTTATGCCCAAAGAAGTTGAGCGACTCTAGTTGCGAGGAGATAACCTTTTAATATGACTTGTACAATGTGTAAAAATTTCTCGGGTATCTATTCTAATCCAGCATGCTAGAGGTTCATGGCGAGATACTTTTGAACTTGCCCTGCGTAAACTCTAGCATTCATTGTTAAAATTCTCGCCCCTGAAAGCCAAAGTGGAAATGAATTGTTTAATCAAAATTCCAGGCTTTGAACTTAAAAAATGACAAAATGCTGGAAAAATTTCACTGGGGTATAATGCAAAGTTAACCTTTCTTATTACATGTATTAATAAAATTAATATTTTCGAAATTGAATCAGAAAACAAAACAACTCATCTGTTTAACCTTCGGGAATGGAATGCAGAAAATCTGTCGAAACAAAACTAGTTTTCTGTTATGAAAATTAAACAAGTTAAATCACAGATTTATCTAGCAGACGCCACATCATTTGTTTAATTGACTGATTTATTTGGAGTATTCTCAGTGTTTTCCTTCAGAACCTTCAATCAGCTACTTGCCAAATTGACTGCTTACGTTGACAAAAAATGCCAATTTGAAATAAAAATTTTAAAATTGAATTGCTGTTTAAAGGTCTATTGAAAATTTGTACTTAAACTTCAGCCCCTAGCCTGTTACAACTGATCTCTAACCCTTAACTTTGAAATAAAAGGAAAACACTGTATTCTGTTACTAATTCGCTGACTTGTCTTTTCCAGGCATTAGAACTGGAGTTTTAGAAAACGTCAAAGAAATGTGGACAGAAGTACCTAAGACAGGAAAGGAAAGAAAAAGTCCAAACCAGTGAACAAAGACAGATACATCTCCAAAATGTTCCTCCGAGGGGACTCTGTGATTCTCATTCTTAGAAATCCAATGGCAACTGCCAAGTAGGGTGGGGAAGAAACTGTTAAGTAGGGGGAGGGTAGGGGGAGAAAGTGTTAAGTAGGGGTAGGAGAAAGTGTGTTAAGTAGGGGGAGGGTAGGGGAGAAAGTGTGTAAAGTAGGCAGGGATTGTACAAAGCAGATTTGTACCTGTGTTAAAAAGGGTCAGTGGATGCACCCAATGTAAGCGAGGTTGAGATGAATTTACAGCTGACATTGTGTAGACAATGCCGGCTGAAGGTCTAACCCTTGCTCTGATATCTAACGAGGGGATGGGAAATAGTAATTATTGTATTTTATTATTTTCTGATCTCTTGCAATTTTTGATGATCAGTTAATGTTTTGTATACATGTTGCGATGGTTTTATATAATTTTGTCATTTATTGTCTTGTACATGTGTATAACACGAGAGAAGTTCATCTTTCATTTATTGTCATTAAATCATGAAACACTTTTATCTCAGTGTAAGTTCTTGAGTTATGTAACATAGTCAGTATCTAGAGGGGTTTGAAGTGCTATCAATATGTATGGTACAGACTATTCTTTTTCCATGATTAGCATCTTTTGACAGTTCCATGACAAAATCTAGTATGATCTGGCATTGTATTAAGGAAATTTTTGTATATTTAAACTGCATTCACATCAAAGTGTGCACACTTCTAGAAGAAGGTAATCCCACTGTGGGACAAGGAGGCCGGTCCTTCGGATGAAACCGTATAAACCGAGATCCCTTGGCCCATGAGTTGCTGGCAAGTAAAAATCACTCAATGCTCAATGGCCCTGAGTGCCGAACTGGGATAAAATTTGTAGGGCTCTCCACCAGCAAGTGATGGCTTTCCATATGATGGAAAATTCTCGAAAGGGACGTTAAACAACATACAATCAACCAGTCCTTGTTTCGACCATAAAACTTGAAAAATGATGACTTCAAACGAGGCTGTTTCATAAGACTTGTTCAAACGTAGAGCATTTTCTTGCGTTTTGCAACAACAGCGAGGCATAAACTAAATGCTACATGTATAAAAGAAGTTAACGATTGAAAAGTTGATCTTACCACGTCTTTCGTTAAGTTTTGTGTGTACTTTCATTCTTAGTTAAAAGTTTAAAGGTACTTGGACACAGATTTGAAGTTAATTTTTTCTGTATAATATCACGAATTATATATTTTAATAGCATTTCACACAAAAATTAATTAAAAATCTTATTTTCATTTAAAAGTTATTAAAACTTTTAATTTTTTGGCGGGTTTGATTGACACATCCTTTCACTACCAAAAATTTTAACTTTATTCTTAATCCTTAGGAAAAGTGGCAATCTTGTGTATTAATGGGAACAATTAAATTTATATCCATAAAAATAATTTTATTCAGAGTAGAAATGTTAGAAAGCAAAACTCCTTCACAAGTATCGTCATTCCGTTGTGTACGGAGTTTAGCAAATCGAGCACACTCATGCTATGTACACAGTTTTTGTAAACAGGGCGAAAACTCGATTATTGTTTGGTGTTTTGGTTCACCGTGCGTTTAATCGCCAAAGTCTGTTCACATCAACTGCACAACTGACAACTGACAATATATTGTGTGTTTGTTTTACTTTCGAACAAGTCCACTCTGAATTTTCTGGATTAAAGTATTAATAGTTTTCATTAATACACAACAAGACTGCCACTTTTCCAAAGGATTAAGAATAAAGTTAAAATTTGTGAAAGTGCAAAGATGTGTCAATCAAACACGCCCAAAAAATAAACGTTTTAATAACTTTTAAATGAAATAAGATTTTAAATTAATTTTCGTGTGAAATGCTATTAAAATATATAAGTCGTAATATTATAGAGAAAAAATTAACTTCAAATCTGTGTCCAAGTCCCTTTAAAGAGTATTTTCATTCCCTGATTAATTTTATGTCCAAATCTTACATGAAAAATGGGGATAACGAGCAGTTCCCAAGCTCTAAAACCATAATGATTTAAAATAAAAATACGAATCAGATACGCAGAGCAAACACGGACCATGGATTTGAAAAATGATGATTTCAAACGAGACTGTTTCATAACTTGACATGGAGGATTGAACATCCTCTGGAATTTTCTATTCCAAGCTGAAGTCATTTACCTCTACCAAGCCTCTCTTATTTTTTCGATCTCCCTTGTGCATCTGTCACTGCCTTGATTCTCCTTTGTTCATCAGAGTGATTTTCATCCAATGAAACATATTGAGATAACGAACAGAATTCAAGATCAAAAGTCCATAAAACAATACATATAAATATATATTAAATAGGAACAGAGAGAACACGGACCTCCAAAACATCAGAGGTAGGATCAGGTGCCATGGAGGAGTGAGCATCCTCTGCCGACCGGTCATACCCGCCGTGTGCTCCTTGTCATGATCAGGAAATAACGGGAAAATCCTTCGTCAATTCAGTGTATAAATAATGCACTAACAATTAGTATTAAAACGTCAGTCAGCATTTGACTCGATGATAAATTGTTTATTGCTGACAAGATCATTGTATCGACCATAGAACTTACGAAATGATGACTTTAAACGAGTATGCTGATAATCTTGTTTCATCATCGTGTTTGTCAATAATCTACTTCGTTATTAAAAATTGTTCATACATAGAGCATGCTCTTGCTTATCGAATCAACTTCATAAACTTATGCAGGTAATGAAGGTATATATATTGCTGCATGAGTAAGGGAAGTTGATGATAGAAAAGTTTAAGTCATCACCTTTATCATAGAGCTTGGTTGTTTGATTCAAATAAAATATCCAAATATGAAACCGATGTGTCAGAGTCTGAGGTATCTTTTATTTCAAGCTCACTAGGATATATCGTATCGGCATAAGAATGGAAATTACAATTGTTAATTGACAATACGCCGTCGATACTCAGTATGTCTAAATGTCAATTGCAAGTTGAAGGCAACAGCAAGTGTTATCTTCTTTTCACGCATAAGATTTTGGGCAAATTCTGCTTCACATGAATACAAAAATAGGTCTGCTAATAACGGGGCGCAATTGGTACCAATGGGAATTCCAATAGATTGTTGGAAGACCTGGGCTCCATAAACAACACCGGTAGATATTGTCTACCAGACACTCAATCATCTTTTTGATGTCGACTTTAGAGTACACAAATGTACTTGTGTGTACAATGACTACAATCAGAATGTTTTTTTTTTAACAAAATAAATTTACAAATGACTAATGACAAGGTACTTGTAGTTGATTCCGTCAATGATAAAAAAAGCCTTGACTAGCTTTAATATATCGTGGGGAATGGTTGTGTACATAAAGTTGAAAGTCGTAAGTTTTTAAGCTGTTGATTTTGGTAATATCTTATGATTTCAAATTGCCAAAATTTCATTTGAATTTTTAAATCATTATTTCGACCATAAAACTTAGATTCTCCAGGCTTTTTGATATCATTGACTGCAGCTTTTTCAATAGAAATGGAACTCGTAAATTCAATTACCTTGTCGTTGGTCATTGCAAAATTATTTGTTAAAACATTCTATTTGTACACACAAGTACTCTGAAGTTGATATTAAGATATGATTGAGATTCTGATTGACAATATCTATGTGGTTTTTGGAGACCACGTATTCAACAATCTATTGGAATACCCATGGGTACAAATTGCGCTCCGTTATTAGCAGACTTATTTTTATATTCATATGAAGCAGAATTTATGCAAAATCTTATGCGTGAAAAGAGAAAACACTTGCTGTGACCTTCAACTCGACATTTAGATATATCGACGACGTATTGTTAATTATAATGGTAATTTCCATTCCTTCGTCAATACGATATATCCTAGTGAGCTTGAGATAAAAGATACCACAGAGTTCGACACCTCTGCTTCATACTTGGATATTTTACTTGAAAAAGACACTAATGGTAATCTAACAACCAAGCTATGTGATAAACGGGATGACTTTAACTTTTCTATCTTCAACTTTCCTTACTTATGCAGCAATATACCTTCATCACCTGCATACGTAGTATATATATCTCAGTTGATTCGATACGCAAGAGCATGCTCTACGTATGAACAATTTCTAAAACGAGGTAAGTTATTGACAAGCAAGTTGATGATACAAGAATATCAATTGTCTCGTTTAAATTCATCATTTCGTAAGTTCTATGGTCGATACAATGACCTTGTCAGCAAGTACAATTTATCATTGAGTCAAATGCTGACTGACGTTTTTCATACCAATTGTTAGTCCATTATTTATACACTGCATTGAAATGACGACAGATTTTAAATCATAAGATTTACCCAAATCAACAGCTTAAAAAAATACGACTTTTCAACTTTATACACAACAATTCCCCACGACAAATTAAAGTCCATGCTTTTTGATATCATTGACAGCTGCTTCTCCAATAAAAATGGAACTCGAAAATTTACTCACCTCGTCACGTAATTTGCAAAATTATTTTGTTAAAACAGATTCTGATTGCACACATAAGTACTCTGAAGTTGACATCAAGAAGATGCTTGAGTTTCTGATTGACAATACTGAGTCTACCGATATCTATGTGGTTTTCGGAGACTAGGTCTTCCAACAATTTACTGGAATTCCCATGGGTACCCTTATTAGGAGACTTATTCATATGAAGCAGGATTCATACAAATACTGCAATATACTTTTTGCTCAAATTATAACATATGATAGGTAATACCAAAATTCCTCCGTTTTGTTCCCAGAGGGGGCATCTCTAAATGTCAAAGTTTATTACATTTCCCTGTTTTTATGGAGTACTACAAAACAGGACAGAAACGAAGGATTTGAAAAGAAAATAACAAACATGTTTAAGGGATTCTCAAATTTCTATTTTTTTTTATTTCAAGACATTTAATATTTAACACTATTTCTTTTTTTTTTTAACTTTTTATGATCCCTTTATAACGAAGTGCCAGGCACTAGTGATTTTGATTCGTTTTAGATATTATTCATTATATCCGTTTGAATCCATAGGTATTTACTATCATCTATATTCTGTGCTTTTCATTATACCTAGTGATACACTGGGAATTCTCACTCTTCACCATGCAGTGGTCATCTTCAATTCCCAAATAATTTTGTCCTCGAAACACAGTTCAGGACGCACAGACGGACGGACGAACATTCCGATCATAGATTGTAATCAATGGCGGATTTACAGCCCCCTTTTTGTGTCCAAAACATATATAATTTAATAAATCAATTTCTGGAGGTGTGGCTGTGGGCCCCTTGCATGACCCTGGTCAAGCAGGTCGGGATCCCCCATCTTTCAAGATTCTGGATCCGTCATTAAGAGAGCAACTTTCAAAAATCTTCTCAAAAAATATTTGTATGTCCTCTCCTGACTAACTGGACAAAAACGGCTCGAGATTTGTTTTATATTCCAGGTCACAATGTTTCTTTCATTCCTCTTATCTCACAGCAACTATATTGAGATT